GGGCGTGGTAGTGCATGCCTGTAATTCTGGCTACTTGGAAGGCTGAGGTGGAAGCATCGCCGGAGCCCAGCAGGTCAAGGCTGCGGTGGCCGGTAGCGGCCACTGCACTTCAGTCTGGGCGACAGAGTGAGACTCCAACTCAAAAAAAAAAGAATTAATGCTACTATAATAAAGGCCGTTATAGCCACTATTAGGACACATTGAGGCTTTGATGTCTGGTAAAATGTATTTATAGTTACCTCAATGGTCTCTACATCCACTGCAGAAGTCCAGGCAGTTTCCATTGTTGTGAGTGAGTTCCTTGGACCATATATGGATGTCCCTGCTGTGGTTTTCAAGAGTTTTGTGGGTTTGTGATAAGAATTTATAGACAGTTAAAAAGGTTGTTAATGATAGTGTTAAAAAGGAAATACAGCTACTTTAGAAAGTCTGAAGGAAAAAAATCAAAAGCATTAGTTTGGAGACCTGTAGTTAGGTTGTAATTTGAATTGTAGGAAATAATAATAAACAAGAGAATTTACAACTGCCCCCCCCCTTTTTAGGATAGGTCTGGTATAACTTCACAATGATTGATATGCTAAACGGGGTGTAGCCCAGGTAGCCTCCATTCAGGAAATGGGAGATTGACATCTCTCTGCTTTTGATGGGAGGAGAAGTGTTATTGACCTTATTTCTTCATCTGGAAATATTGCCTTAAAGTTTGACAAAAGTAATTAGTAATACTTAAAACAATTCTTAAAGGCTTTAAAATCATAATATTATGACATAGGATTATAGGCCATTGTAAGAGTTACTATTTAGCCAAAGTGATAGTTCAAAGATTTTGAAAAGTAAAAAAACAAAAAACATCTCACTTTTTAATAGAGAAGATTTTAAACAACGGAAACCAGCAAACACAGAGGGGGGCTAACTGAATTAGTCTCGCGTTCCCCCCCTCCCCCCCGTTGTATATAGGAGAAAATTATTTTGGAGATTGTTAATTAAGAGGCTCATGTTCTGGTGTCTCAGTAATTTTTTGGCTTAGCATTAGAGTAGTGGTGAATTCATAGAAATAACTAAAATTTTTTTGTAAACTTGATTGTTCATAGAATTCCTTTTACACATTTCTTTCCACAAACCTTATGTATACCATTCTACAACATACACATATCATTTTTTGACATACTTGAACCTTCTGTTTTTGTCCAATACTTTCTTTCAAATAACCAGCCATCTTGTTATAGGTCAAGAATTCTTTCTTAGGCAAAATTATTCTCTTTTCTTTATAGCCTTTCTTACCAAAAACTTACTTTTATAACAGCTTTCTTTACATCTTTCCTTTGCTTTCTGGTTTCTTTCCTTTTACCTTCTTTTTTTTTTTTGAGTTGGAGTCTCACTCTGTTGCCCATGCTGGAGTGCCAGTGGCATGCTCACAACCATCATAACCTCTACCTGCTGGGCTTAGGTGATCCTTCCACCTCACCTTCCATGTAGCTGGAATTACAGGTGTGCGCTACCATGCCCAGCTTTTATATATATATATATATATTTTTTTTTTAATTGTAGAGATGAGGTCTCACCAAGTTGCCCGGGCTGGTCTCGAACCCCTGAGCTCAGGCAATCTTCTTGCCTCAGTCTCCCAAAGTGCTGGGATCATAGGCTTGATTCACTGCTCCCGGCCCCTTTTACCTTTTTTATAGTTAACTTTTTACATTTGTAATATGAGTTAACTTTCTAGTAACTTTTGACTAAAATAAGGCTATATGATTCCAACATAGATGGCCAAGACCAAACAGCTGGCACATCTGTTAATTGATAAATTAATTTGGGTTCCAGCACCCTAATAATCACCTGGAGTATTTGGGGTGGTGGTGGTGAGCTGTGCCAGGCACTTGAGCAGGTTTTCTGGGCTCCTCAGTGGTCACCATTTCTGAGCTACGTGTTCTTTCTTCAGAAGAATGCGCACCCAGAGGCACCACTTTCATAGCCCAGAGAGCCACAGGCCCCAGTAGAAGGCTGCTCCAAAACATGCACTCAGAAGACTTGGAAAGGAGAATGCAGAGGGTTCCAGACACCAGCAAAAAAAACTCTGAAGCAGAATAGAGAACCCAGAGGACCCTGGGCCCTCGCAAAAACCATCCACGTCATCAGCCAGTGTCCTGGGCAGAGGATCAGTGAAATTAGCCTGAAAGAATGCAGAGGGCTCTGGACCTGAGCAAAAAAAAAAAATCTCAAGTGGAGACAGAAAACAAGCCCCTCAGGTCACCTTTAAAGACCTCCTAGCAAGGATCAGGGTAGCGCGTGGAGAGAGGGATTGGTCTTGGGAGCAGTTCCTAGGAGGCCTGTAAAAGACACAGTCACTAAGGTGCGTTTACACAGGCAGCCGGACAGCAGCCTCCTGAGGCTTACTTTCTGACCTTCTCACAGGGAATAGGGCAGCACAGAGTCACCAATGATGTTCTGTACCAGACGAGGCTGAGATGACAAGGAGAGGTCTGTTACGATGTAGCTCATTGCAGGCGATAGGCACAAAGAGCAAGGAGTAGATAAAAGGATCCAAACACCCCATCTCTCTCTACAGAGAGACTCAGGTCGGAAAAGATAAGCGTGAGAGAGGGCAACCCCCTCGGATCCCCTCCCACTGTGGGAACTTTTCTGTCCTCAATAAATCCTGCTTCTAAAAAGAGAGAGAGAAGAGTGAGAACGAGAGAGTGACAAATCTCGGTGCGACCTCCAAAAATATTAGGTCAAAATCCAGGTGGGCCCTCTGATGGGGGAGGGGTGGTGTGACTGCAATTCAGTGCCGCAAAACAGATGCAAAGAATTGCACAGAAATGACATGAAAATATAGTTTATTTAGAAAGTAAGTTGGAGAGAGAGAGAGAATTCTCCAAGGTAGGGGAGGGGGCCAAAGCTAAGAAAACATGGTGGCCATAGCTCAAAGAACCACATGGCCAGGCCAGAGCTTAGCAAAGCAATAGCCTTCTAATTTTCTTTTAAATTTTTATTTTGACTATCAAATTGTGGTTTCTAAAAGTTTGCACTTTTTTTATTTTCTGTTGTTATAGCATCCTGCTATAGCTTCATGCCTGCAGAATATTACCTACTTTATTTAAATTTTTTGTTTGTTTGAATTCTTGTATTTTCTCTTTGTCCAAGTTCTTTTGTGGTTTGTTGTCTCTTTCTTTCTTTTCTTTTTTTTTTTTTGAGTTGGAGTCTCACTCTTGTCACCTAGGCTGGAGTGCAGTGGTATGGTCACAGCAACCACAGCTTCAACCTGCTGGGCTTAGGCAACCCTTCCACCTCAGCCTTCCAAGTAGCTGAAACTACAGACGCACACCACCACTCCTGGCTAGTTTTTGTGATTTATTGTAGAGACAAGGCCTCAGCAAGTTGCCCAGGCTGGTCTCAAATCCCCAGGCTCAGGCAGTCCTCTCGCCTTGACCTCCCAAAGTGCTGGGATTACAGACTAAGCCACCACACCTGGCCTGTTGTCTCTTTCTTATACTTTAAAAGCTTCCCTCTGATATCTTGCATATTTGAATAGGATGCTAAAAGCCAGTGAGAGGTTCTGTGGATGAGGGGCCTGTATACTGCTGGACTTCATTGGAAAAGGTGTGGCTTTGCATTGAAGTCCCTCACCTTAGTGTCTGTAGTGCCTTTTTTCCGTAAGGCAGTTCACAGTTTCCTCAAAGAAAGATGCTCTAATCTTTTTTTTTTTTTTTTTTTTTTGAGTTGGAGTCTCACTCTGTCACCCATACTGGAGTGCAGTGGCCGCTCCCGGACTCCTCTGGTGATCCTTCCGCCTCAGCCTTCCAAGTAGCTGGAACTACAGGCGCGCGCTACCACGCCCAGCTAGTTTTTGATTTATTGTAGAGATGAGGTCTCACCAAGTTGCCCAGGAGGGTCTCGAACCCACGGTCTTAGGCAATTCACTCACCTCAGCCTCCCAAAGGCACGGGATTACAGGCTGAGCCACCGAGCCCGACTGATCTTCTAATCTTGATATAAGCCTGGTGATGGCATCGTGGATCTAGGTTGAGATTTTCTCTTAATACTTTCTCTTAATTCTCCCTGATTTCCTATGGCATTCTGTTCCCCCTTGCCTTTTTCCTGTTCCTGATGTTCCTGAATTCAGCATGTGTCTGATTCAATGTCTCCAACAACGAACCATTAGCCTCCTCCGGGGATGATGTTGAAGGACAGGGATCTCAGGAGAATAGAGAGACCTAACTGTTCCAAGTACATCGTTTTAAACATTTTCTCTGTTTTCAGTTCCTTAGTGCATGCCTTCCTTTTATAATACCTGGTGCCTTTAATTTCCAAGTTTTTCTGGGGTTCTACACGATAAATTAGCTTGCTTCTTTTGAGTATCTTACATTCCTTATTTGATTACTTGTTTTTATTTTTTCTCATAGTATAGCATTCAAAAAGGAGCACAGATCATGTTTCAGTTTTATCACTTTAATAATCATACCTTGTAACCACCACCCAGATCAAGGACTGGAGCATGAGAGAACTCCTTAGACTTCCCTTATAGTCTCCCAGTTATCCCCTCTTAAGCCCATCTTTACTTCTTACACCACAAATTGGTTGTGGCTACTTCTGAATGATAAATATGGGTGTGAGTATAGATATGGGTGGAAATATAGGTATGAGTATAGATATGGGTGGAGGTGGGGGTGTAGGGGTAGACATAGACATAGTATGGATGCACATTATACCTTACAATACTATTGATGGTTAGTAAATTCCCCAGGAAATCTTGTGATTACTCAAACTGAGGCATAATCTGGTAAGGAGAGGTAAGAGTGTCATTAAAAACTTAGCAAAATAGGGCAAGGTTCCCTCCCACTATGGTAGCTTTTCTGTCCTTTCAATAAATCCTGCTTTGTCACTTAAAAAAAAAAAATTAAAATAATTGAAAAGCCTGCCTGAAAGATAGGCAGTTATTATCTTCTTACTACATAGATCAAGCCTTTAAGAGTTTAGAAACTTAAGTGGAAATCTAATAAGTCTTTTTTTTTTCTTTCCAGGTAAACCAGATTTTTATCAAGACAGAGACCCCATGAGGGTCTCAATAAGTCGAGAACAAAGTTTCCTTGGGAGCCCACTAGCCCGTGATCCATTTGGTTGTCCTCACCCAGTTGCCCAGGAAAATGTTGGTGACGATGACTGTAATGAAGCAGGTGAGAGATTAATAAATTGAAAGTGGAATTATATGTACAAGGATATATAGACAAAGGATATTTATGGTAGCATTATATGTAATAGTGAAAAATGGCAAATAACCTCAGTGACTGTTGTTAATTGAATCATTATGGTGCACTCATACTATGTTGTTCTAGGCCATTGTTAAAAGAAATAAATAACTAAATTGTTTCATTAAATAAATATCAGTAGGTAGTATATGAGGGTATGAGTTTTATACAATGGGCAGCCTCAGAATTTTGTTTACGCCTATTTGTAACAATAAGCTTACTATTTAATTAAATAATGGTAAAAATTATAGTTAATTAAATACTGTTAAATATTTTAAAAATCGTATCTGTGGGCATTCTGCATGAGCTGCATTTTTTTTTTTTTTTGAATAATTTAAATATTTACAAGGAAAAATTTTTTTTTGAGTTGAGATCTCATTCTGTCACCCAGGCTGGAGTACAGTGGCATGATTAGTTACCACAGCCTTGAACTCCTGGGCTCCAGCATTTCTCCTGCTTCAGCCTTCCAATTGGCTAGGTCAACAAGTATGTGCCAACATACCTGGCTAATTTTTATTTTTTTAAAGACAAAGTCTCACTATATTGTCCAGGTTGGTCTAAAACTCTTGGGCTCAAGCAGTCCTTCCCGCAGCCTCCTAGAGTGCTGAGATTACAGACGTGAGCCTCTATGCCCGGCCAGGAAAAATATATATATATATATATTTTTGAGCTAAGAAAGATACAGAGAAGATACATTGCGAAGGGCACAATGGGCAGGATAGTAGCGAGAATGTCTGCTGTCTGCTGCCAGGAAAAATCTTTAAGTCATTTGATTCTGCCACACATAGCCAATGTTAATTTTCTTGCTTTTTAATTTGTATGTGCACATATAGATGCATAAATGTATATGTATATAGCTGTTTTATGTGTAGTATTACGTACCGACCATACAAAGCATTGTTCTAGTACTGTTTTATTAGATGTAAGGCATCTTTTAAGACGTTACCTTTTCGAACCACATTTCTTTTTCACTGTCACATATACTTAGATAATTGATATATTAGTTATCTATAGTTTAATAGAATGAGAGATGAGCGAGACCTATTCTTTTTAGATTTTATAGAAAAAATTGACTTTAACATCTCCTTTTTAAACTGTAGATTAAAATAACTGTAAAATATGTAATTTCCAGTGAATAAAACTATTATATCATTCTTTGTTATTTGCCCATTGGATACTTGTATTTCCTTTTTATTCCTTTATTCCATCTGTTGATATCCTCTAGCCAAAGACTACCAGGAACACCCCTATAATAGTTGAACAGGCTTGAGTGTTTGACCCATTGCATGAAGGAGAGTACATGCCATGAGCAACCATGAGGAGTCTCATAAAAGGATATTTGGAAAGGAATTGGGCTTGTATTTGGTAACTTGGAGAAGGGCTCAAGGAAGCAGGGCTTTGCTTATTGGTCTTGGATGTTGTCAGGAAGCAGGGGTAATTCTGCCGTTAGGTACCTAAAAAAATCTTATGTAGAAGGCAGTAAGAATGGAGTGAGGCTAAAGCGGTAATTGGTGGAACAGCAGCAATCACTCACTCATGAACAATATTCATGACCATCTGCTTCAGATATAATTGCAAGGGCTCTCATTTTTGTCTTTGTTTACCATGGCCTTTTCTGAGATTGGCGTTTGGTGAAAGTGTTTTTGTTTTGGGTTAGAGTCTCACTCTGTCACTCAGGCTGGAGTGCAGTGGCATGATCACTGTGGCATGATCACAGGTCACTGCAGCCTTGACCTCCTGGGTTCAGTTAATCCTCTGCCTCAGCCTCCCAAGTACATGGGACTACAGGCGCTTACCACCATGCCCAGCTAATTCATTAAGTTTTGTAGCGATGAAGTCTCCAGCAGTCCTCCCGCCTCGGCCTCTCAAAGTGCTTGGATTACAGGCATGAGCAATGGTGCCCAGCCTAATTGTTGATGTTTAACAGGAGAAAACCAAGTCCTAGCTGATAAGGCCAGGTCAGCTCCTAGATACCAGGGGCTGCTTTTTTCTTTTCATAATCATCCTCAGATTCAGATTTTTTTCTATTATATTTTAGAAAGTTCTGTTTTGTTACTTTTTTTTTTTTTTTTTTGAGTCGGAGTCTCACTGTTGCCCAGGCTGAAGTGCAGTGGCACACTTATGGCCACTGCAGCCTTGACTTGCTGGGCTCAGACGATCCTGAGCCTTCCAAGTATCTTGGAATTGTTATTAATTGATTAAAAAAACCCCAGAATAACTTCTCAATTCCCAACTAGCTTTTAAAATGAGCTACTTAAGAAAAGAAAAAAAGAAAAATTCACTGTAAAATTTCAGCACCTATCATTTTATTTAAAATTTAGTATGTATAGAAGCAATTGAAAAGTTTAAGAGTTAAATTAGTTGTCATAATAAAGTTAAATGAACTATAATGGCATAGAATAAAAAATTGTATTTAAAGGCAAATAATATTTGCTACTAGCTTTGTGTCTGCTTCATTAACCATAATACAGATATTTACGAATAAATATCTGTATACACATACAGTTGGATGTGTACATGTGTGCGTATATTTATGTTTGTTTTGTTGGGGTTGATTTAGAGACAAGGTCTCACTCTGTCACCTAGGCTGGAGTGTAGTGGTGTAATCATAGCTCACTGTAGCCTGAATCTCCTGGCCTTAACTGATCCTCTTGCCACAGCCTCCTGAGTTGCCAAGACTGCAGGCATGAGCCATTGCACCTGGGCTGTTTATGTTTATTTACTAGGTTTTTGTTTAAAAATCAATTCTTCATAACACAGACATATAAGAAATATACATTTAATGTGCATATCATCTAATATCATGATGATAATTAGGCAGGATTTTTATAGCCAGTGGAGTAGTTTTAATTTTATTCTTTTTCAGAGCCACAGACTTCATATGACTTGGCTAGCTTTCTCACAAATGTTTGGATATTTGGAATGAGGGGAAAAAATCAATTCATAATACCTGAGTTAGTAATATAAGAACATTAAAGTATAATTTTTTTATGTTTTAAAATGTCAGATCTTACTAGGAATGAATTCATAATAAAAGCAATATAGTCTTACTGTGAATTTATAATCGTACTGTGAATTTAGAAAGCACTAAAAAGCCGGACACAGTGACTTGCAACTACTTGGGAGGCTGAGGCAGGAAGATCACTTGAGGCCAGGATTTCAAGACGAACCTGGGCAACGTAGGAAGACTCTGGCTCTAAAAATATAAAATAAAACAGAAAGCACTAAAAGATACAGTATAATTGAAAATTAATCCTGTGCTGGCATTCATAAGCAGCCACTGGTTGCTTGGCATGTTTCTTATTATTTATATTCATTTTTCTCATCTGTAGGATCTTAACTGTATTAATGACAAATATTTTTGAGGCATTTGATTCCTAAAGTAACAGTGGCTACAGTTTTCCAGAAAAAAGTATAATGTGCTGACAAGTGAATGTTTTTAACAAATAATAAAGTAAATTTGCCCTACTCCAGACCTTTTTTTTTTCCTATCTTAAAACTCCAAAATCCGTTTTCAGTGACAGTCAAGGAGTCTTTTGTTGAAAACCATTCGGTATTAAGCCATGCTGTGGAGGAAGAAGACTATACACATCTGGGTCTAACTGTGAAGCCAGGAAATAAGGTTAGTAATATCTTAGTGTTTACTACATTTTTAGAGCTTTTGGCTTCATCGTCTCTTTTGCTTAATTTGCAGAAGATATAAAATATTCAAGTCTGTGTTCTCTGAGATCTGCTCTTACTGAAGTAGATCAGTGATGAGAATAGCCAAATCTGAGCATCAGAGAACTTTCCATCTACCTGATGCATGATCTCCACAGTTCTGAGAAGCAAAACCGTAAAACAATAAGGACATATGTCTGGGGGGGGTGTGTGTGTGTGTGTGTGTGTGTGTGTGTGTGTGTGTGTGTGTTTATAATGTAGATGGGGTAATTCAGGACTTGCTAACGAATGAATGATACTCTATGTGTGTATTTGTATATATATGTGTATAAAAGACAAATTCTGAGCAATGATGATAAGTTTTACTACTGATTTCTTTGTAACTATGAATTTTTCTACACTTGACCTGAGCTCAGAATTGACAACTGCAGAGACTGGTGATTTATGATTTCTCTAAATATTACTTTCTACATTGTGGTCTAATATTCCCCTTAATGTCTAGGCTGAAACACAGGAGATTTCTCATGAGCCATTATCTTCAGTAACCGTTTCTACTGGGAGCTTTTTAAGTTATGAAAACATAGATTTGAGCCTTACAGATCCAGGTAATAATGTCTAATGTTTATAAACAAAAGACTAGCACCAATTTATCTTGCAATACCGTTGTGGAAGGAAGCACCAATTTTTCACAATACACTGGGGAGTCTCTAAGTTTCAGTATTCATGCCAAGTAGAATACTGGACAGTATGGTGGGCCAAATATGACTAGAAGTAACAAGGATGCTCTGTGGATCCCCAACACCACTTTTATTTTAGTTGGGGTCTCTCTCTGTTGCCAGCCGGGAGTACAGTAGCACCATCACAGCTCACCGCAGCCGCAACCTCCCAGGCTCAGGTGTAGTTCTGCCTCAGCCTCTTGAGTAGCTGGGACTACAGGTGTGCACATTGCCCAGACTGATCTCCAGCTCTTGGAGTTCTCCCACCTTGGCTTCTCAAAGCATTGGGATTACAGGTATGAGCCACCATGCCTGGCCCCCTACAACACTGTGGAGTAGTAGTTGCTACAAAGTTACATTTTTTTTATTTAGCAGAAAGCTATCTGAGCAAATTTCTTGGTTGCACTGATCTCTTAGCAATTGATGTTGCCCTGCCTAATTACCAAAATGTATCTCTAAAGAAGTGTATGTATGGACAGCTTGGCGAGACCTCATCTCTACAATAAATCAAAGCATTAGCCGGGCATGGTGGTGCGTACCTGTAGTTCCAGTTACTTGGAAGGCTGAGGCGGGAGGATCGCCTGAGTCCAGCAGGTCGGAGCTGCAGTGGCCAGGAGCGTGCTACTGCCCTCCAGCCTGGTTGACAGAGTGAGACTCCAACTCAAAAAAAGAAGTTGTGTACCTAGCCATTAAAAGGAATATAGTGTTTCACTATATTTTTTAATGAAGTATTTGATAATTTTTTAATGAAATATTTTCATTAAACTCAATTTTCAGAGTCATTTTCAGAGCACTTGGGCGATAAGGAACAAGAATCTACCATCAGTAAAGAAGAGGAAACAAATATTTTAAGTTCTGTAGCTCCTTCAACACGAGTTATTTGTCAACAGCAGAACACTTCAGGTGTGTTTATAAATCTTTGTTGCCTGCAGTGGAAGAATTTACATCTGGTCACACACACTTTCAGCAGATCATAGACAAGTACATAAATGAAGCAAATTTATGCCTGAAAAAACAGACTTGCAGGGTAAAATTATTTTAAAGTAATACATTTTACATTTATGTAAATTAAGTGTTAAGTTTTCATGTTTCATGAAAGTGATTATTTGAGCTTCGTGTTTTTATGACCCGCTGTAACACAGTTATACCACAGAAAATATTGAGGGCATTTAGTGAGAAAGGGGACCTAAAACTAATTAGACTAAGTGAGGAACGTGCTAATTAGCAGGTCTCTCTTTACCATGACAAAGTTAGCTATTACGGCTAAGGCAGTATTGCCACTGTTGCGAGCAAGAGCTCAGAAATCAGACCTAGATTCAAGACATAGTTTGACCATTTCCTAGCTGTAAAACCATTTTCATCTTCTGTAAAAGGATGTTGGCGATTAAATTAGATAGTATACACAAAGTACATTGTCTGGCCCACCATAATACTGAACACAGGGAGGATTTTTTTTCTTTATGGTGCAGCCATGATCACGTATGTCCTGCTGCTCCTAACTAGCCTCATAAGGCTTTGGAGCTAGTGGAAATGGAAATGGAAATGTATACTTGTCAAAAGTTTTGGTCTAGTTTTTTGGGCCTTTGGAATATTCATTATAGGACTTCATTTGAAAGCATCTGCTGAAAATGGAAGCAATTTTGTTGCCTTGGAGTCACCTGAAAACAAGCTCTTGCAGATTTGTTCTTGCTACTCCTTTTCTAGGCTTAATTTTAAATTTCAAAAATAAACTTATCATTTTTTCCCACAAAATTCCAACAGTTGATCTTGACTTTCCAGAATTGGAATACATTTTTCCAAATTTGCATCATCAGCTGTTTAAGCCCTTGGAACCACATCCAGATTTTGATTTATCATCATCATCCTCTGGGATTTATCAAGACAACAGAGACTTCTGCCAGGTATATTGAAGTAGATGCCCCATTGCAGTGAATATCCGAGAACATTTCTAAGTCTTTTCTTCTGTTAGAACAATGGTTTTTAACCTTGATTCTTAATTTTAACCTTACTAGAGTCACATGGAAAGCTTTTAAAATTTCTATTGCCCAGACTACACTCAAGACCAATTAAATCAGAATCTCTGGGAGTGCTTGAATACTGTGAATTTGTTTTTAAAACTCTCCAGGTGATTCTAATAGTTTGTTCTAACTCGAACCCCTAACCCTAACCCTTATTTCCAGCTAGTGGGTATGACTCCATAAGAGGCTTGAGAACTTTTAACTGTGTAACATTTCAATAGGCAAATATGATTTTACAAAATTTAAAGTCTCTTTCTACAGAGTAATAGAGATTCAAACCTGGGTGTCTTTGCTTCCATAGCCTGACATTCTAACATCCCAAGCTACTCTGTATAGTTTGTGCTTATCAGAACATTATCTCTTTCTCAATTTCATTTGGAAAAAAGAATTTTTCAGATAAACTTAAGAAGGATTTTAAAAATTATGTTCTAAACTCTACCTGGTTAATTCACAATCTGTTTTCTAAATAACGTTTTCTTAAAATTATTTTTCATACTGACTGAAAAGGAAGAATTGTGTTTGGATAATTAGTACTCTGATAGAAAAGGGGTAATTAAGGAAGAATCATCTCCAAGGAATATAGTGATTATTGACTCAATTTGTAATACATAACCAGTATTTCAGCCTTTCCCTGTTGTTTTCTGTCAGAGCTCAGATTCTTCATCTCAACGCCACCATGCTACAGGATCATCCAAAAGTACAGTTTCTTTCACAGCACTGAGGACCAGCCTGCATTCTTCTTTTAACACAAACCTGCACCAGCAACCTGACACTAACTTGGCTTGTGCTGCAGCTCAGAGTTTTGATACAGAAAATATTATTGAGGGTAAGTTAGAAAAAGTTAAATAAAACCTAGTGCTTTGTTTCATGGTTCTTTACCTCCATTTCCTTGGAAATTGTGCCTAGCACCTCTTGGTTTGTCTCCACTCCTGTCCTCACCCCTGTCCCCAGTGTTACCAGTTCTATCTCTTTAATGGCATATTTACTTAATTAACACATGCATTTTTTTTTTTTTGCAATGCTGAACATCATAAAATAAAAAGAGTAGCTGGGGATGGTGGTTTACACCTATAATCCCAGCACTTTGGGAGGCTGAGGTGAGAGGATTGCCTGGGCCCAGGGTTCAAGACCAGCCTGGGCAACTTGGTGAGACCTCATCTCTACAATAAACAAAAAATTAGTCAGGCACTGTGGCACATGCCTGTAGTTCCAGCTACTTGGAAGGCTGAGGTGGAAGGAATGCCAGAGCCCAACAGGTTAAGGCTGCAGTGGCCATGAGTGTGCCACTGCACTCCAGCCTGGGTGACCGTGAGACTCAACTCCAAAAAAAAGTGTTTTCTCTTGTTCTTCAACTTCCCTACCTCAACCATTACAGTTAACAGTTTATCTTTCTAGAACTTTTTGTGCAAATTATATATAGAGACCCACACTGTATACACACATACATACATAGCCACACATGTTTTATTCTAAGTCCTGTTATTAAAGTCAATATTAAGTTCTCTTATAGGGGGAAAACACCCCCATGGAGTCTTATAGCCATACTGTCTATATTAAATATTAGAAAAGGAGAAAATACATGTCATCTATAGAGTTGATGGTCACTCTGACCATCTTATCTTTGTATTCATGTTTACACATGTCAACTTTCATGCCTAAAATCATAGAAGGTAACATGACTTTATTGTTTGCAATTTATTGAGAAACTACTAAAGAGTATGTATGTATCCATTTAACAACACAAAATGATTAACTGACTTTTAAAACTTTTAAATACAGGATCTGAACAATCTTTTCAACAGCTTCTGCCAGAATTTTCTTCACAGGAGGGGAGTCAGGGTGCTGACCTACCAAGCATCCTTAGCATTGAAGCAAGAGATTCTTCCCAAGGCATGGAAAATCAGAACCATTACTCCGACGAATACACTGAAGTATCACAGAATGAGAAAAAAAGTGTTCATTTCCAGCTCTCGGTGGGAACCTTAAGCTCAGTCTGCAGTTCATCTTATGAGGCTAATGTGTTTGATCACTGTGTACAACATAGCACTCCATGTGGTTCTACATCTAGTGAGTGCTCAGTAAAACCCCAAACAAACAGCAGAAAAGAAGGGCTGGACTTTAAAGAACTATCAAAAAAAGAAGTTGTCACAATGTTACAAAGTCAAGGACTCATTGAAGAGGATAAAAATGAATTCTCTAGGGTTTTAGACATAAATCCACAGGTAGAAGAAACTGACTCTCAATTATGTATAAGAACAATGGAGATGGGAACGTCAATTCAAACACCACGTTCATTAACTACTCAAAATCAAAAATATTTTGAGAATCCAACTGAAGTGGACACTCCAAAAATCATAAAAAACCTATCTCAACTAGCACAATCAGAACCTTCTGTAAGCTCTGGATCATTTTCATTACAGAGCTCTGTTCCAATCTGGGTAAGTGAAATCAACATTGTATGAGTAGCATTTATGTTTCTTTTCAGGAAAAACTTTTAAGAAAAAGTAGGAGGGGGTATTTCCTTGGTGTTGCCCAGGCTAAACTCCTGGGCTCAAGTGACCCTCCCACCTCATCCTTCTGAGAAGCCTAGGACTCCAGGCAGGGAAACTTTTGAAACAATATAAGAGAAGCAAAACTACTTAATATTCCTGTCTGAGATTATCAAGCTCATGATCTCTCAGTGAAATGAGAAAACTACACATTTTAAAAGCTGTTGTCTGAATTTTACATATTTTTCCTCCCAACTTGGATTTCCTTTCTCCAACTTCCCTGAGAAACAGTGGCTCTGTTTCAGCACTTTCAGTGGTGAGCCTCGTTGCACTACACTATTCTGTTTATCATTGGAATAAGTATTAGAACATTCTTCATATTAAGCAAGCTATGTTTGGTTTCAGTGCACCTTCTAAAACTGAGTTTATCTTCCCACAGATAAAATATGTTAACCTGGCTGCAACACAATTGCCCTCACTTTTTTTCCTTACTGCCACACAGGCTGTAGTGCAGTGGCACACACAGCCACAGCAACCTGCTGGGCTCAGAAAATCCTACTTTAGCTAGAACCACAGGCATGCACCACCATGCCCAACTAATTTTTATCTGCTGTAAAGACTTCTCACAAAGTTGCCCAGGCAGTTCTCTTGCCTCTGCCTCCCAAAGTGCTTGGATTGTAAGCATGAGCCTGCATTACTGGCCCCTGGTCCACTATACAGGATAGGCACTGTGGCCCTTGAGTCCCAGTCAACCTGCGTTTACATGTTAGTTATCTGCCTAGCCCTCATCTCTGCAGTAGATATTTTCAGACAGTTATCACCCGATTTTCTTCATCCTAGAAGTGAATGCTAGAGTTGGAGAGCCCTAGGGGAGTCTGTATAATCTGTGGTCTTTGTAAATTGATCTCGTTTACATTATTTTCCCTTTTATGAACATTTGCACAAAATATACAATGTACAGTGAACTTTTATCCACTTTTAATTGTATTACACAGGAGACAGAATCTGGCCATGGTATAATGGAAGAACCAGAACTTACTTTAATAAGCACCAGTGATATCAGTATTCTTGAAACGGAGTTTGCAAACTTAACACTAAGAGAAGAGAATGAGGCAAAAACCTGTTTTCAGGTAAGCTTCATAGCTTTTGCTACAAATGCACCTCATTAATACAACATAAGCGAAAACCAGACACTGATACTTTTGTTTTCCTGAAAGCATTGCTTTGTTCCATATGCTAGCCCTAAATACAAAGGGGACCCAGAAAAAAAAAATAAGCCCTGAGTTCTTTAAAAATTGTATACTTAGCCAGGCTCGGTGGCTCAGCCTATAATCCCGTGCCTTTGGGAGGCTGAGGTGAGTGGATTGCCTGAGCCCGCGGGTTCGAGACCCGCCTGGGCAGCGAGACCTCATCTCTACAATAAATCAAAAAATCAGCTGGGCGTGGTAGCGCATGCCTGTAATTCCGGCTACTTGGAAGGCTGAGGCGGAAGGATCACTGGAGCCCAGCAGGCTGCGGTGGCTGGGAGCGGCCACTGCACTCCAGTCTGGGCGACAGAGTGAGACTCCAACTCAAAAAAAAAACAACAACAAAAAAAGAATTGTATACTTTTTCATATATTTAAACACACTGGTCCCCTTCAAAGTACTGTTTGATGCCATATACCTATGAAGATGCAAGATCTGGCAAATAAGAATGGGGCAAGAGAGTCAATGCTGTTTTTTGCCAAAAACTGCAGAGCCTCAGCACAGTGTGGGTATGTTGTCATGGTGAAGAACCACTCACCTGTTAGCCACAACTCAGGATTTCTACACAACCTTCTCAAAACCTCCAGCTTAAAAAACCAAACCAGAGGAACTGTTTTCTTGGGGTCCCTCCTCGTATATTAAGTGATGAGTTATACCTTCCATTGTTCTGAAGGGCAGTAGTATCCTGTGAGGTAAGGAAATCCACTAGACCTGAAGTGAATGGAGCAGTAAGTTCATTTTGAACTTTTCAGTACTGATGAAAAAATTGTGCTTCTAAAGTTAGCTTAATCTTCCATTTTCTACAAGCAAACCAGCTGTTTCTCACGTAGCTGATAACTTCATTCCTCAGATGGCAGTCACTGGAATTACAGATGAAGTCCAGACTTTGGGTAGATTAGGAAACTTCTTAGACTAGACCACCACCAGCTGTTGTTTGGTGCAAACGATAAGTCACACTATTGTGTATGGTCTTTTACTTTGCACTACATAGTTTTGCAGAAAGGTTCCAAGCATCTTTTACCAGAGTTCATGCTTACCTCTAAATTGGCATAACTGATTTTCATGTATCATATAGCTAGCGTTTTAATGCCAAATTAGAAAGGTATGCCTAAGTAAAAATTCCAAGATATTGAGAAGTGACTCCACAACCACAGCTAGTTGTGAAAAACTTTTAAAAAAGCATTTTAATAGAAAAGCAGAGGTCTAAGAGGTTTGAGGTGAGGGCAGCACAAAGCAGTTAAGTGGCATGAGAAAGGGACCCAGGTAAGTTGGGCACAACCTGTTGGAGGGAATCTGCCCCTCCCCCCCCCATTCACAATGGGCATGCTTAGATCTTTTGACCAGAAAAGCAGGGATTCGAGCCTTCAAATACAGGTGGCACATGAGCACAGGCACTGCACTAGGAAAACATTTTTGTAGCTCTACTGGGGGAAAACAGAACCAAAAAAATTTTGATTAAAGTCTGTAGTCCCAGCTACTTGGGAGGCTGAGGCAGTAGGGCTGCCTGGTCCCAGCCCAAGCCACATACCAAGACCCTGTTCTGGGAAAAAAAAAGTAGAGCCAAATTAATGGGTGACTTTTCTTGCCATTAGGTAGATGAACCAGAAACCTCAGATTACCTAGCTGTATCAGAGCTCTCTATGGAAAAGCCAATGTTGTCTACAGGTATGCGTTGAGTATCTGAAATGGGCTGTGCTATGAGTTGGGCTGGTGGGAGCCCTGTTAAACACATTCTTGGCATAAAAAGCACCAAGTTTTTTGTGTTTTTTTGTCTCCCCTCCCAACAGAAACCCTTCCAAATTTTAAACCTAAACCAGAGAGCTTACAAGAAGCATTTCTAAAAAGAAAAAAATCATTTGTGGAGAAATCCTACCAGAGGCAGAAAGAAATAAGAAATAAAACTCGTGTCTCTGAAAATTCTCAAATGAAAATAGTTAAGAAGAAACCATCTATGAGTATGTTGAATTTCTTAAAATCTTCAACTACCTCCATGAATGTCTAGAGCAGCAAGCTTTTTGATTTTGTTTTCCAAAGTTATTAAACTGAATCTGACCTTCAAAAGCACTTGCTCTTAGGTTCATCTGTGAGTCACCTGAAGGGTGTGAATAGAGCATCTTTCCCTGAAGACAGAAAGACTACACAAGCCTTCACGCACCAAAGGTCTCTAAGGTAGGGTTGGTTTAATTCAGTGGCTCACGTTTTTTCCCAGTATTCATCTCTAATTCCATGTAAACCTCATACAGACTGCACAATCAGCTAGCTGAAGTGAAACAAAAGGAAGAGAAGGCAAAACAAGAAGCTTATGCCCAAAACAGAGCACGAGCAAAAGAATTTCATAAGGTAAAATGGAGCTGGGTGGCAGGAGTCTAATTTTTAAAGCATGAAACATAGAAACTGAAAACTGCTTAATTATTTATTTATATTTCCTCAACAGAAAACACTGGATAAACTCCGAGCCAAAAATATATGTTGACTTTCTACAAACAGTGCAGAGTTTTATTGTCTGTATAACATTAAAAAAATCTTTTTTATATAAATAACTTTAAAATGCAGCTTTCACGTGTCATCATTTCTTCTACTTTTCATCAAGGTCAGATTCTTCTAAAGTTGGAGTCAGAATTTATCTTCAAGATAGCCCTAATGAAGAGAAACCGAATTTTAAAGCTTTCCCACATCAATAATCATGGATTAGGTGTCTAAGTCTTGTATCTCCTCAGGGAAACATAGCACCACTGGGAGCTATGGCATCACCCTACAAGAGAACTTAAATCTTTGGTCACAGCGTTAAGAGCTCTTGGTTTCACAGACCTACAAGCCCTCTTTGAAATGACCTAGGTGTCTTTAATGAATACACATACCTTTTAAAGTAGGATTGATGCTTTTAAAGTAGGATTGATGCTTATTCCATGACTGTCCTGTAAGCCCTATGTGACAATAATAATACAAAGTTTACATTTCTAGAGATGATCACATAGTGAATTATGATGTACTCACTACATACAATGGAGTCAATGTGTACTTGCATATTAACTATGCAAAGCACATCTGCATGGCTCAAGCATCCACTGTGTTAAGTTCTACTGATAAAACAGCTATTAGAAAACCACATGTGGCTTGCATTCTATTTCGATTGGACAGACATCTAAACAACAGTCTAATAAAGTCAATAAAATGTTCCCGATAGGCTGATTGCTAACAAGGTAGCAGATAGAAAACCTAGTGGGAAATTTTTTATGGTCATGTCCACAGCAAATTAGAAACTCCATTCTAAAAGCCTTGGTAATGACCATATGTATACCCTGGGACAAACCAACTTATGGTAAAATGAAAACGATTACTTGCCACAATTGTTTTATTTTGGCTTCTTTATCTCCACTTGAACTGATGAAAACTTCAAAATGCCACCTACAGAAAAGCCCATATTTAAAGCTCATATGTACTATTAAATATAGAAAGTTCCCTTATGTATTATTAAATATAAAAGCTCCCTTTCAAAATGAGGTTGCTTAGGTCCCAAATTATCCTAGAACCCAGTGCCTAACTTACATATTGAAACTCTCAGGCTTAAAATTGCTCACTGCAAATATTTTGCATCTTTTCAATCCACTTTAAGGTTGAATTATCCTACTCCCATTCTCATCTGAATTGGGCCTCTGATCACAAACTCTAGAGATATGCATGTTTCTGATAACTTTTCCCATACATCTTTTATGTTCTGAGTATTTAAACAAGATGTTCAGAAAGGCTATTTTTCATTCAGCCCCCTCAGAGCAGTTGAACACTTTGCCCATCATCATAACATCAATACTCAAGTATACAGTGACATAATAAAATCTAATCTATCTTTACTCGCAAGTGGTAACGTATCCATCCACCAAGTTTGGTTCCAATAGTTATCAGATAAACACATACAATGACTAATGGTGGTGAATTGTGTTTTGTACCAAAGCTAGTCTTCAATAAAATACCTGCATGACCTTTGAGGTAAAAACTTACCCAGAGATTTTAGGATTGTCTTCTATCAATTTGCTTTAGTGTCCTAGAAATTAAATTCTGGAAAGTACACTGATGTGTTGACAAATGATCTACTATATCAAGCAGCACATAGCAGTGTCTTGGTCAACAATGAGCCACATAAAACTGGCCAATAAGAATTAGGTAAACTGGGTGCAGCAGCTCACACCTGTGTTCCCAGCACTTTGGGAGGCAGAGGTAAAGAGGATTGCTGAGCCCACAGACTTGAGACCCAACCAGGCAACATGGCGAGACCTTGTCTTTACAACAAATCAAAAAATTAAGCTGGGTGTGGTGGCACCTGTAGTTACAGCTACTTGGAAGGCTGAGGCAGAAGGATCGCCTGAGCTCAGTAGCAGGCTGAGGCTACCATGAGCATGCTATTGCACTCCAGCCTGGATGACAATGAGACTCCAACTCAAAAAAAGATTAAACTGAAAAATTCCTAAGACTCGCGTCCTCATAATCCTCACGTGCTGTGGTGATGCCAGTGTGAGCAAACCTGTACTGCCAGTTGTATTAAAAGTACAGCACATATCACTGGCTTCTGTATTTGTGATACACTTTTTAGCATGCGCAACCTTCTACTTAATAAAAGCTAATTTTAAAACAGTCTCTAGCAGATCCTCCAAGAGATATTCCAGAAGAAAGCATTACCACCACAGTTCATGAAAGCTCCATGAATTAGTTACTAGCCTTGAAGACCTTCCAGTGTGACGAGATGTGGACATGGACAGTGATAATGATCCTGACCTTCTGGAAGCATAGGTAACTGTTTTTGTCTTCGTTTTTAGCTAATTGGAAAAAATAGAAAAAAGTTTATAAAGAAAATGTACTGTGCTGTCCAATGTGTTCCTTTCAAGCACATCGGTTTAAGTGTTACTCAAAAAGGCCTAAGAATTAAGTTCATCCGTGAGTTACGTAGTAAGCTATGGTTACTGAAGATGAGTAAGTTTCCTACAAATTTACTGTAGCCTAAGTTTACAGTAATGTCCTAGGCCTTCATATTCGTTCAAAACTCAGTCACTGGTTTACCCGGAGCAACTACTAGTCCCGCTAGCTCCATTCATGATAAATATTCGATATATTGGCATACCATTTTATCCTCCATACCACATGGTGCTACAATTGCCTATAGCATTCAGTACAGTAACATGCTGTATAGGTTTGTAGCCTAGGAGACATAGGTTACACTATGTCGTGTCGCAGAGGCTATTCCCAAGTAAGCTATGCCACCTGTGTTTGTGTAAGTACACTCCATGATGTTCAGGCAATGAAAACTGCCTAACCATTACTCAAATTGTAACTGACAGTAAGCAAGGCATTATTCTCTAACCACTTCTAATATTAAAGGCAACATTTTTCTCATACTTATTTTTACTCACAAATTTGGCAAAATGTTACAGGTCTCATTGTCACCACTGTAACACATAATACTGTGATGGAAGCATAACCTGTGTCTTGATTTAGCCACATTAACAATTCTGGGACACATACCATGATCAGCAGTGCCCATTCTCGTCTAGAATGAGGCTTTGGTAAAAGCTCCTTCTAAGTGTAATGAAGCTCTTGTTATGCTGGTGACACTAACGGGGGAAACAAGGAGCTAGAATCAATAAACAGAAAACCTTACGTTTCTAGAGTGGATGATGTACCTGCTTCTCAATTAGACATCCTAGAAAAAGGAATGCATTAGTTACCATTGGAGCCTGTTATCAAACTGTACACTATGAAAAATCCTACAGAAATAGTGTATCAATAGAAATACCAGGTTTAACATGCACAAGGCCAAGAAAACCAACGATGCCAGATATTGAATTTCTATGGCACTGACTTTTGAACACCCTAGCAGGAATTAACTGCTGAGTGCAGATACCGTGCAGTGCGATTATGACTGAAATGTAAAACCCTTTACTTCAGAAGTTTGAAATGTAAAACCCTTTACTTCAAAAGTTTGCAAGGCTATCTTAAAATCACTTTCACAAATCTCTAAAATTCAAGTTCCTGTAATAGGTACAATAATTTAACCTGTATTCTTAATTGTCATCCTAGTGAAGAAACTGTTAACTGCATTTTAAACTATAATCCTAGTTATTATGTTTGCTCAGTGTCCATGTAGATGGCATCATTAAAAGTCAAATCATCCTAACAATGCACTAGAAATGTCAGAATCACTGTTGCTCAAGCTGTTAGCTTAGGAAAATCCCTTTAATGCAATTCAATATCCCCATTGAATCAACATATTCAGGTTTATATGATTTTTGAATAAGCCATGTGGAACCATCACTTGAATAAATTAAAAGTACAAAGAAAAAGGCAGTTTTGTTTGGTAGGCCTTTACATGCTGTCTCCTCATGTTTTCATTCTATATATAAACACATCTTGTGGCCATTATAAACTAACTGAAATAGATAACGTTTTCCCGAGTCCTTAATAAATTGACACAAATTAAGCATTTCACTTACCTCTAAACATGAACGAGTTCAAGTCAGTCATTCCTACAGAAAGTACCAATTAAAATTTAGGAAGGATGCCTCAAGTACTTCCAGTTGTTGTAAAAACTAAAGCCTAATTTTAATATCCAGACTTACACCCAGCTCTGTCAGAATTGAGTTTTAGTTCATGTCTGTTATCATCCAGCAGTTGAACATTAAATTCATCATCTGAACTGTAATTCTATTCCCAAGATTACTTTGTCACCAACTAAAACTTACCTAAATGTAAGTCAATAGTAATCAGCGGAATATGCCAATACCTAAGACAAAAAAAAAAATTATGTCTTTCCTACTTTATTTTAAAATTAAATTTCAGGTCGATATCCACATTGGTCTTTCCAACTTTTAACGACTGTCTTGTAGTTCCTTCTCACAGGTCTAACAAATAGTCCGGTGAGTAAAGCAAGCCCACAGAGTTACTCTACGAGGCGTTTCCAACGATGTGCAGGCTACAGGGAAGCCGCATCGGGATAGACCTCAACCACCATTCAGAGTTGGGGTTGTTTCCTTGTTCCCTAGGCTGGAGTTCAGTAGCACGACTACAGCTCACTACAGCCTCAAATTCCTGGGCTCAAGTCATCCTCCCAAGTAGCTGGACTATAGGTACCCCCAAACCAGCTACTTTTTAAAAAATATACAAGTAAAACCCAAGACTCCATAGGAAAGAAATTAAGAACTATAACATGCTCTACCCTCTTAGAATGATCAAAACTGTGAAATAAGTCAACAAGAAAATGTCCTACAACTTTAACCACAAAAATCACTCCATAATCACATAGTAAGGATTTTTACCAAGCTGCTTAGAAGCCAGAGTACAGACTAATAAAAAATAAAAATATGCAATGTATGATCACATAGTTTAGAAGCAAAGGAAGATTTACATATAAACGTGTTGTCTGACTCTTATGAACTTAAATACCAGTGTTTTTCTCCTATCAAATTCAGAATTCAGCAAACTTTACTATATATTAATTGAAAATGTATACTTCATTTAGGAAATCCAGATTCTGACTATTGCTACCAACTAATTTATTGACACTCTCTTAATGCTTACAACTAAAATGAAGCTGACTGTAAGATGTGTGAATCTGAGATTCCTTTTTGGAAATGTTTTAATTGCTAATTAACGGGAGTTACAATGTCTCTCAATAAAACGAAGCCTAGCCGGGCTCGGTCGCTCAGCCTGTAATCCTGCGCTTTAGGACGCTGAAGTGAGTGGATTGCGTGAGCCCATAGGTTCGAGACCCACCTGGGCAACTTGGCGAGACCTCATCTCTACAATCAATCAAAAAATTAGCTGGGCGAGGTAGTGGCCTGTAGTTCCAGCTACTTGGAAGGCTGAGGCGGAAGGATCACCAGAGTCCAGCAGGTCATGGCTGCGGTGGCCAGGAGCGGCCACTGCACTCCAGTCTGGGTGACAGAGTGAGATTCCAACTCAGAAAAAATAAAACGAAGCCTGTAGACGCTTACTCAGACAATGCACTACTCACTGATATAAACAATTACGAAGTGAAAACACACTGACACATACCTGCAACTTCAGACATGTTCTCAAAAAAGCCTTAAAAACAAAAAAAAGCCATCTTGATATATCATGAAATTGGAATACTACATGTAGCCACCACCACCACCCTATGTCCTATGCTTTGTAATTATCAATTCTCCAGTCCCGAAACCAATCCTCATGGTTATCAGTACGCTCATCACAATAAACTGGCTGAGATATCATGTATTGTAATATTCCTTCTTCTATGTATCAAAACTCATACTGAACAATGAGTTCTGGGTTGCAAAAGAGGATTTATTTTTTGCACCTGTCTGTTCGTCTTTGTCCACAAGTAAAACAAAAACATAAACAAGTGCTATCCTAAAATGCACTATGCAGCAGAGTAGTCAGCTCCACAGGGGTGATCAAGACACGAAAATGGGGTGGATCACGGGTTCTCCCTGTATATATGCATTATATATAAACATATATGGTTTGTCTCCAATTTAAAAAAATGAAAAACAATAGCTGCAAGTAATATTAATGGTACTCAAGATATTCTACCTCCTCGAGAAGAAAACTAAGTTCTTATTAAATACTAATTGTCAGACAAAAGGTTACTCCTGTGAATGAAGTTAGAATAAAATTAGAGCATTTCAGTTACCCTAAAGAAGCCTGACTGGTTGTCAGTAATTTTATGTCAAGGTTTTCTTTTCAAAATTCAAACCTCTGCTAACAGGACACCTATGAACTCTTAATTTAAAATGTTTTTCCTAATAATTACTTCGTAAGGAGTTTCACAAATTTTCTCATGGGGCTTCATTTTTTAACCCTCAGAATGTTCTTATTTAAAAAATTCTTCACCACCAGGCTGGCATACATATCCACATTTATCATCTTTATTCACATCTGATTTTTCTCTAGATTTCCTTTTTTTCTCTACATCATTCACCTTCTTCGACATTCATGATTTTTTCTCCTTTTCAGGCCATGGTGTCTTCTGGCCTATGTCTCTGTTCTGTTCTCTTTTTAGACAAAGCAACTTCTTCAGTATTCTCTTGTTCCCATTGTCACTGGGAACTCAGAACTTAATATGAAACTATCTCCCTGTATAAAGAAAAAACACTATTAAGCAATTAACTCAAACAGTTTAGTAATTTTACATAGCTGTGTGCTAAGTTACCTCAAATAACCCAGAGATTACATCTAGATGTTAAAAATCCAAATTAACATCTATTTTTTTCATTCGAAATCTTAGCAATACTAAAATTTTGTTCAAAACTACTGAAGGCTGGGTGCAGCAGCTCATGCCTGTAACCCCAGCACTTTGGGGGGACAAAGCAGGTTTGTCTTAAGCCCAAGAGTTGGAAATTAGCTGGGTGTGGTGGCAGGCACCTGTAGTCCAGCTACTTGAAAGACTGAGGCTGGAAGGTTGGCCCAGGAGAGTTTGAGACTTCAATGAGCCATGGCTGTCACCATACTCAGCCTCGCTGGCAGAGACCCTGACTCAAAACAAATAAAAACAGCATTCAAAAATACTATTTTCATTTCTCCATTTCCTGCACTAAACTGATTTTCTTTTAGGGTCTCAGTTGCCCAGGATGGAGTGCAGTAGCATGTTCACAGCCACAGCTGCCTTGCCCTGCTGGGTTCAGGCATTCCTTCTGCCTCAGGCTTCCAGGTAGCTGGACCTACAGGAGAGCACCACCACGCCTGGCTGATCTGATTTATCGTAGACAAGATCTTGCCAAGTTCCTAGGCTGGTCTCGAACCCCTGGGCACAGGTAATTCTCTAGCCTACCAAAATGTTGGGATTACAAGCATGAGCCACTGCGCCCCACCACATACTAAATTTACCAAACTTTTCAACAGCTAAATGAGTCATAAATCCTTAACTACTGAATACAACTCCTGCCTTACAAAATGTAACAGGAAAAGTCACTTACTGCCAATTTGATATCGCATTCATCATGTTCAAGAGGTGCTGCATCCTCATCCTCTGCTCTGTAATATTAAAATGTATCACTTAGATGACAAAATTTTCTGTTTCTGGTTAGTTGTATACTCTACTCTGACATACTAGTCAAGGCAAACACAATATAGTATATCCTGGATGTCCTGCATGCCAACCTCAGCTTAACTGTAATAATTCCAACTGGTCCATCACATCTGTGTTCACCATTAAGTCACAATATAAAGGTATTAAAGGGAATCTATGGAGCAATTAACAGTAAAATTTAAATTAGCTATAACCTACGACTAAAGTTATTTCATGATTCAACTTACATTGATTCTTCAATAGGAGAAATGGATCCATCATCATCCAAATATTTATATCTACGACTATCAAGATCTTCTTTTTCTAAATCTTCACCAACATCCATCTGTTTCAAAGATTCTTTCAGGTGGTGTTCGTACTTCAGTTTTTCAATGTAGTTAAAAAACCCTCTTGCAACAGCTTGCTATATATTAAAAACATATTTTATGTACACAGTCTTATAAAATTAAGACGTTTTCTTTCATGACTCAGCAGACATCTATGTTAAAAAAAGGGCATTAATCGCCTTAGATGACTAAATTTGCTATCTTAATTTACACTCCACATTTGTGGACAAACATATCAAATGCTGATAGTTGAAAAAGTTTCACAAAGCAGTTATAAACTTACCTGAACGGGCGCCAAAAACTGAACCACTTATCTACTGTCATGCTTGGGATTTGCTAGAACCATTTTTAATGTAAAGATAGGAAAAAAATTTCTGATGTTTACTACAATCACCTTGAACTGAAAGGATTAGGTACTAATCCTCTCACAATTTCAAGTTCTGTTGAGGGACCATAAGTGAACTCTTTGCTGAATATCCAACTCAAATATCTGAAGAGTCTACTTCTAAATATTAGGGTAACTTATCAAGTATTCCTCTCAGACATAGCTAGGCTTTAAGTATCCAAGTGAGATCAAAGGACTTTATATAAACCACCTAGGAGCCTTATCCTTTAAACTCAGCAGAAGCACATTCACTAAAAAGATGTTGCCCAGAAGCCCATGTCAAGTTTGAGGTAAAGGATGGAGGAGACTTCCGGTGGACATCAGAGCAGTACAGAAGAGCATTAACAAAACCACAGACGACTCCAGGTGTCTCCTGGACACGTCGAGAAAATGCTCAACAAATCATTCTGGACACGTTAGCCGTTATGTATCCATAGATACGAAACACTGACTCACCTCAAAGATTAATATTTTCCTCCAAGGTAATGGTTTTCTGCCATTCTCTGATTCTACAAAAGGGAAGCCAGATCCTTTGCTTTTACACTGTTTCTTATCTATTTGTGAGCGTCGACTATTTTTTCTTCCTTCCGGTCTTCCCCTTCGTCTTCCCGTTGGCTTGTATTTCCTCTTTGTACGCTTCTTTTTCTTGAATCTTTCAAAAATAGCTTTTAAAGACAGTGGTCTTGGTTCAAAAGATGAGTCACTTGATGATGAATCTCTTGCTTGAACGTTTTCAGGTGAATGAACAAATTTCCTAATTGGGCTTCTTTGCCTCCGTTTAGGTGAGCAAGGAACACACTGAGTTTTAAATAAACTGCTACCAGAAAAGTTATCACTAGAGAAAGGGAAAACAATTACCTTTACCTTCCTGCACACCCAATCCCAAATGTACATTTCTTCCAAGGCCAACCCAGGGAAACATGCTCAAAATAATTAAACAACATTTAAAAGATGGGCTAGGACAACCCCCTCAGGTCCCCTCCCACTGTGGGAGCTATTTTTTTTCTCTAAATAAATCCTGCTTTAAAAAATAGAGGAAGAGGGCTAGCATTTGAGTCCCAACCATTCTATCTAAATGGCCATGCCGTAGCACTTACTAATAAATGAAATATTTTATCTTTCAAGATTATAAGCTCTAACTTTAGGCCAGACATCTGAGACCAGCCTGGGCAACACAGCCAGACCTCGTATGTTTTAAGGAAAAAAAAAAAAAGGCTGGAACTGGTGGGGCACACCTACAGTCCCAGCTACTTAGAAGGATTCCAGGAGCTGGCAACTGCTGTCATCGATGGGCATGCACCTTACTCCATGACCCTGCCCCAAAACAAAAAATTGTTTTGTTATGTAAGCTCTACAAAGCCTGCCTGGCTCACTGCTGAGAGCCTCTTCTAAATAACACACAGCCTATGGGGCAAAAACACGATTTAGTCTGGGAGCAACATGAAAGTTGAACCAGTGCATACACTATTTCCCTAAGCTGAGAACGTGCCCCGCTCTAACATTTCAGTTTAATTAGATGAACTCAGAAGATCGGTGTAAGCAAGTTTTCCTTCCTTCTCAAGCCCTGACAGTTATCTTTACCGTCACTCAGCGTATTACGCCTCCCTAGTAATACTCACGCAACAGTAAATTTTATGGCTGAACCCACTCACCTCTGATTTTCAGTTTCCACAGCCAAACTGGATGTCAGGTTGTCAAGAGACTCCGCTCCCGATCTCTCCATTATTTACTGTTTTAACCGATTTTCTGAAATTGTGGAATTTCATAAACACACATAAATGCGAGGTGGCTTCCCTGAACAAATACACACAGCTAGCATCAGCTACCCAGTCCAGTGGGGCCAGACGACGTCACCGACATCGTGAACCGAGGCAAGATCGTTCATCCAGCTTTCAAGCTTATCTAGGAGCAACTTCTTCACTGCAAAGCGCCGGCTCTGAGTCCGAGCAAGACGCGCATCGGCCACAGAGCGAGTCGATTACCGACACACCACCAATCGGCAACGCGAGCTGCTTCCCCAGCCCCGGGGAGCTCCGGGGAGCCTACACCGAAAGCCCCCGACACCGCGTCCCCGACGTGTGCCAGGAAAACCACCTCCTTTCAGCGGCCGGTTTCCGACTCCCGTCAGGGCGCTCTGCGTCCCCCCGCCCCTCGGCCGTCCCTGGACGCAGCCAAGTGACTGCCCGGTCGCGGCGGGCGCTGGCAAGTCCTGGACGCCCGAATTTCTCGACACAAAGCTACGCTGCGGGG